GGAGGCGCCGCTGGAGGAGAGGGGTCTCGTGTGTTGACGCCAAGCCTTTGTCTCTGCAGTTCTTAAAGAATAAGATGGGCAAGACCGAGAAGGCTGCCGTCCCCTACAGCCAGCCCGTTCACAGCTTACACCTGTGTGAACAACCAAAGATGAACAGGCAGAAGAGTAAATGTAACATGCCGCTGGCAAAGGTCGCCTCGGCGAAAAAGATGGAGAACTTTTGGCAAGATTCTGTATCGCCAGAAATAACTCAGAAGCAGGAGAAAAAGCCACTTAAAAACACAGAGAACTTCAGAAACGCCAAGTCCAAGAAACCTGTCACCCTAACTGAAGTGAGCCAAAAAGAAAATTACGCTGGGGCAAAATTTAGTGACCCACCATCTCCTAGTGTCCTTCCAAAGCCTCCCAGCCACTGGGTGGGTGGCACAGCTGAACCGTCTGACCAAAACAGGGAGTTGATGGCAGTCCATTTGAAAACTCTCCTAAAAGTTCAAGCATAGTTTCCAAGATCTCTCGAGTTATTGGCAAAGAAAACTCCATCCAGGAGACTTAAACATGCCTTGTTGCAACAAAAATTGCAGAAGACTGTCAAGTCTTGTAATCACGTTAAAAAAAATCCTTGTATTATATTTTTTATGGTTGTGTAAATAGTGTACATCATGTATTATGTGTATATTCTTGTTCATACTTTGAGAGGTACATTTTAGTTTTGTTATGAAAGGATGTATTTTGCACTGCCTGAAAGGTAGATGTCTTGTATATAAAATATGGACAATTTTAAGTGTGTGCTTGACACATGAAGACTTGACTTGATTTGCACAAGGTAATGAAAATTTTGGAAGGAGAGTACAGCTTTCTGATTTTAAGGTTCCAGATCAAATGTGAATGTTTTATTCATGCACTACTGACAACAGTTTTACATTCTGTGTCCCAATCGAGTATAAACATGGAATTTTCATACAAATGTGAAGTTTTGCTCTCTGCTCTGGAAACTATCTGAAATTCCTGTTCATCTGTTTGTTTTTAAAATTAACTGGAATTTGAGTAAAATTCCAACCCATCAATTTGAGCACTGCTGATTTCTTTAAAAAAAAGAAAAAAAAAAAAAAACATCAGAAAAAAAGAAAGAAAAGAGCAGAGCTTTCTGCCAAAAATCCAATTGGTCACTGAAAAATTAAATAAAACAATTTGGCCTCCCCTTAAGCATGTCTCTGTTTTTCTTTTGTGTGTGTGTGTGTTTGTCAACTGAAATATGTTAAGTTACTTGATTGCTTTCTAGTGCATCAGGAGGAATGTTTTGTCCTCAGCCTTTAACTGTCCAAATAGTTAAGAGATTCAATAGCTCATTAATAATTCCTTGTGTTTTTAATAATGTTACCTTTGCGATACATCATTTTAGGTTCCTTATCCTTTTGTTTCTTGAAAATTCATATTTCAAGAAAATTGGGCAATTACACACTCAAATTCATACTGCAGTGCTCCTTAACTATTTTTATAGTAAGTGGTTATTAAACTAGTTGATACTGAAAAGTAGCAATGACAGAAGGGCATGAATGGGGCAAGTTAAACTTCATATTTTTCCCCAGATATATGATAGCTCTGATGAAAATTGCATTCCTCTGATCTAAAATTCTTCAGGATTGGACTGTAGGTCAGTCTGACAGGCATGCTGAGGAGATAATCTAGATTTGCAGTTATTTTACGATCTTGTATATAAGATTACTAAAGCAGGAAATATGTGAAATTTACTTAAGAGAAAAAAACATTTTTAAGTTTTCAGGTCCACTGGAAAAAAGTATTCTCTGGGCACTAGTGTACTAAGAAGGATATGTAGGAAGGAAGCACTAGCAGCAGGGTCGCAGCTGAAGTAGTTCCTTAGCATGAATGGTGTTTTCAGAGATTTTATGCCACACGCACTACTGCTTCTGAATTACGTCATCACTCTGTTCCGTGTGTGTGAATTGGCAGTATTTGTTAACGTAGCCCTGAAATGGGATTGGTCAAAAACAAAGAATTTTTTTTTGCTTTTAATTGTATAGTTGCAAAATGTTTCCTTGTAATCCTCTTAGGCTAATTAACTATGTATGTTCTAAACTAAGAGTTAGTACTAAATTTTTGGTCCTCTGCAAAGACTTCCAGGTTCACTGTTTTACAAAATAGACCTTGATTATTAATGGTACATGCTCAATGTAAATCTATGGCCTCAACAGCTCAGTTTGCTGCTTAGTGTACATACTCCATAATTTAGCGTGTCCTAGCTTGTCTTCTAAAAATGAACAAAAATCCTCCTTTTTTATTTTTTTTTCTTTAGAAACAGTATTGGGACAAAGAAAAACTAGTGGAATCTCATTAAGGATGACTCAAGTAGACCATATGTCTACTATATATTTGATATGTGCTGTATTGATCTGCCGATGTGCTTTTTTTTTTTTTCTCCTTTTTTCTTTTGCCCAAATGTCATCAAGTGCAAAGGAAAATGCCTTTAGCAATTCCCCATAGCTTTAGGCAGTGGTTAATTTTGGTATGTGCTGTATTGATCTGGTGATATGCTTTTTTTTTTCTCCTTTTTTCTTTTACCCAAATGTTATCAAGTGCAAAGGAAAATGCCTTTAGCAGTTCCCCATAGCTTTAGGCAGTGGTTAATTTTGTCAGCTGATCATCTTGATAACTAGCTCAACAAGAGCTCATTTCCATGAGCCGTGTAGGTTGGCCTTATTAAAAAGGAGGTATCCTTTGTTCCCCGATTATTCTGTTGCTGCCAGCCTCTTTTCTTCCTTGCCACTTGAGCTGACATCGAATGTAGTTTGAAGGCTAACTCTGATCCTATGTAAAATTGACAAACATACCTCTCTCCGTTTCTACCCTGGTTTGCTGCCACATCCCTGGGTTTCCATGAGCCGTGTAGGTTGGCCTTATTTAAAAGGAGGTATCCTTTTTTCCCCTGATTATTCTCTCTGTTACTGCCAGCCTTTTTTCTTCCTTGCCACTTAAGCTGACATCGAATGTAATTTGAAGACTAACTCTGATCCTGTGTAAAATTGACAAACATACCTCTCTCTGTTTCTACCCTGGTTTGCTGCCACATCCCTGGGGATTACAAAATTAAAGTGCCAATAGTTCTTGGCTCCTCAGCCAGTTTTAAAGCTGTTGGAGGAGACTTCTGAAGTCTTGAAAATTTGAAACTTCGTAAGTTGTTGGACCATACAGGTTATCAGGGTAAGATAACAATGTATCGTCTGGTCTTTCCAAACAGTGCAAAAAAAGCTTATTTAGCTTACTTCTGCATCAATGTCACTGGTCCTCTTGTTATCTGGCAGAAGTGTTAAGGCATTTCATGTTTATATCTTAAGATTTTTTGGGTTGAATCCCTTCCCGGCCAATAGACTGGATTATAAAACTAGGCCTACATGGAATATACACTTCAACAAGATTGCCTGAAAAATCAAGACATTGTAATCTCTTAGGACGATGTTCTGCACTTAATTTGTCACTTCCCCATGTTTTTTCCTTTATCTTTCTACAGTATTTTCTTACAGGGATTTTCAGTTTCAGTGTTTCCTTCACTTTGACAGATTTCTCATACCAGTTTCCTGAAGGTGAGGCGTTGTATTACATGAACATACAATTGTTTGAATTTAGAGCCAGTAAATGAAAGAAAATCATTACTGCCATCTTTGGAGGACTTTGCAATAACATAGTCTAAAGCCTTTTGAAGTGAACAGCCTTTAAGGAAGAAAATTAACAAACTTAGTGGATGTGTTGCTGTCAGACACTGGTCATGTGTCTGCTGTACAGGAACTAAAATTACTGATTAAATCTTCTGTGTTCAGTCAGAGTAAGGAAACTGAACATGCTGCATTATGGTGAGATAATGAAAATCTTTTCTGTTTAAATTCCTTAATGCAATGCTGTGCAGAACTTCAGGGGCATCAACCGTGCCAGTTAACTAGCAGCTTGCTTTTAAACAGTTAAATGTCATGCGGTGATGGGCCTGAAAAATTAGGGTTCATGGAGCGCAGAAGTATCTGTTGTTGGTTTTTCATGCGTGGCTAAGTTTCAGCCCATTAGACAGCTTCATTATTAACAGCTGGCTTGGTGCTCTGCTGAAGCTGAAATCCTCTGGCTTGTAATGCAACAGGAGCAAGAAATCCCGTGTGCGTTCGAACTCCGTTACGCCAAGCTGCTGCAAAATTCTTAAGTAGTCTGTATATGAGGCTGTAACTTTCTCCATAAATTGAATTTTATTTCAGCTGATGAATATTTTATCCAAGTATTATCATTTTAAGCAGTTTTTCAGAGGGTATTTTTTAAGCTTTTGTGTTATAAAGCAGTTGATACATGCCGTGCTTGAGGATTTTTTTCTGCTTTACCCAGTTTTGAGATCAAATATGAAGCCTACAGATTTTATGAAGCCTAAAGATTACAGATTGACTTTCATTGTAATTTTGGAAATAAGTTTGCCTTTATTTCTGTGTGGAAAGTCTTGACATTTTCATCATGCAGTTGAACACATTCCCTATTTTGTTCTACAACCCCTTGTACTCTTTGAATTTTGATATCACAATGTGTTCTTAATTTTTTTTTTTCATAATATATACCTGCCTGACTGAACTATTAACAGGAAATTATCTTGTGTTGTAATTTCTAAGAAGGTTTTATTCTCAGACCAGAATAGGCTGGTCTTTACCCTAAAGAGGCTAGAAGGTAAGCAAGTAAGACATAAAGGTTGTAAAATGCTAACATTTACTGTGAAAAATTGATGCTACCTTGTTGAACAGGAACCAACCACAGTGTTGAATATTTTTGATAGCAGGAAATGTTAGTTGCTGATTCAGTAGAAAAGATGAGTGGACATCCATCGATTAAGGAGAAATATGTTACCCAGTAAAAGGTCCTAACTACTGATGTTGAGCAACAGAATGCTATCAGTAATGTAGAGGCTGTGAATTTTTTGTTTTGTCTTGAGAGTGTAGAGGAATGTTATCAGAGCTATGACAGGAAGGTCAAGAATTCAGCTGAATTTGAAAAAAAAAAAATCCTCAGGAATTAATTTGCAAAGTGAACGCGTCCTAGCAGAGGTACTTCTTCCCCTGTGTTGAATCAGCATCCCTCTCTTAACTTCTTTTCCCATGAGGTGATAAAATATCGCTTACTCAACTCCCAGAAAATAGGGACTTTAGATTTTACAAAGCCCTTCCTCTGTTGGAAGTGCTGCACTCGTACTTTTGTTTAACATTAGCCTAGTGACATTACTACAAGTTGCACATATTCAGGCTTGTGTGTGGCAGATGCGGTCATTTAGTCTGAGTGGTTCATAAAACCTGTCTTCAGCTTGAGAATTACACTGGTGAGCAAACCGGTTGATTTCTGTAATTTATACCTGAAAGAGGAAGTATTTGAGGATCAAGGACTTTTCTTGTATTTATAGGATGTTGCTAAGTCTTTAGTTGTAGTTTAATATATGGCTAATTTCAAGAAGTGGTGTAATCATCATTGCCATTTTGTCGTTCTTAAGGTCATGAAGCATAAAGTTCTGAAGAGATGCTATTTCTATGAAAGATGTCATTTGTTCCTTTAATGATGCAGTGTGCTTTCATCAGGTAGGTCTATGAACCTTAATCTGCAAATGTCCTTGTAAGTGGTGATGGCAATGGCCATCAAAATACCATTTACTTTGGTTTTTACTCCCTCAAACAAGACCTAGAGCTACATTCAATAAAGGGCTGTGTATATAGAGTCAGGCATTACTGCTGTTTTCTCTCATCACCTGAGTCTTGCATTCTTTACTGCCTGGTGACATAGCTACACGAGAAAGAAAAGGTGCACCCTTACTTAAAATAAGAGATCGCTTGAGATCTGTAATTTGCTCATGTGTGTATATATAGCATAGAGCTTTTGTAAGTTGCATTCCTAGCATCAGAATATTCCAAAGTTGCATGTTGTCATATTTAGAATATTCATAGGTCATTGTAGGAATTAATGGAGTAATAAATTGATAGACTTTGTCCACATTTTAGATGTTCTTCATATGCAAGCACTGAAGAAAGTGCTGATATGTTTTTGTGCCCCGTACTAGGAGTGATAAGGAAAAAAGAATCAATGAGATAAGTAGAAAAAAAAACACCTGAAAAACAAGGTCAGATAAGAGATAAGAGAGAAGCAGCAGAGATATCACCTTTGAATTATGTAGAAAGGAAAG